GTCGCAGGCCGTTGGGCCACCCGAGGGTGGGACGCTGCGCCCGGTCTGGGTGGGCTGCGGTGAAGCGGGGTGTCGGCGCGGCCGGTGCGGGATCGCGGCGGGGTCTCGGCCAGAGGGGCAGGGCGCGATCCCCACCCAACGCCCAGAGCCTCTGCATTGCGGAGCGGCTGCGGCCGCGGACCCCAGGGACCCGCTGTAACCCTGGCCTGCCAGGTCACAGCGTCCGTGGAGACACTCCCTGACTCCAGAGGCCCTAGTAGCATGTTTTTGTCTTATGAATGGAAGTCCGCAAGAAAATCACTTTATTTTCTTGTCTTGCACTCCTGTCCTCAGTTCAAGCGTTTTGAATATTTAATGTCTATAAGATCAGGGATGCCATTTTTGCCGGAAACTTGGGTATGTACATCTCAAACTTATTTTTGCCCGCGAAAACTCCTTTTTGTAGCGGGATGTGCAGTATTTTTGCGATTTTCATGGTTTATCTAATGTCTGTAAGCCACAACTGAATGCTCTGGCTAGAACAGCTATGTCCTCTACTATTCTGATTTGTGTACCACATAGAATTCTTGGTTGTATTGGGATCTTTGCTGTATTGTTATTGGCCCCAGGTTTGATTTTGGCTTAATGCTATTTTCTAATCCAAGGATGTTTGTGTTCAGTGTATATGCAATGTTCGCGTTTTGGCTTGAAAGAGACACACTTTCTTAAGAATGTGATCTTTTGCCACTTAATGTCTAACTGGGACTTCAAGTGCTAAAACCCCACGTTAGTTATCTTAGGAACTACAAGGAGAGTAGTTTTGCCATTAAAAAGAGGTCTGTAGAGGTTAATTTGAAGGTAGTGTTGTGTAATTCTGATATCTACTTTGGCAAAAATACAAGTTTGACAATTCTGAGTGGGTTTATTCAGGGACCTTTTCTTAATTTTTCTTCTCTTACAGGTGATTTTCCTTCATGGACTGGGAGATACAGGGTAAGTAGTGTGTTTAGTTACAGTACTGAAAAGGGGGTGCAACTCTACATAAGTGATCAAAAGTTTAATATTTAAGAATGCTTGTACTGCATAAGACATGGTGCTAGTAGTATTTCTTAAAAATCCAGAAATAAGGTAGTCTTTTCCGTTTTTGAAAATGCTCAAATTTCTCTCAATCATCATGAATTTTATCCATTTTCAACTCCTGTTTCGGTACATTAAAATTGGAAACTTTTTGTATTGCTCTGAGTACTGGATACAAGAGACAGGTGGAATGTTTGTGGGACAATGTGCAATCGAGCTTTCCAAAGGAATTAAAATTTCAGGACAGGTGTGGAAGAATTAGTTGATGTTAGTAAAGGGAATGATCTCAGTGTTATTAAATAATACAGTACCACTGTACTTGAGATTAGCTGTTCCCTTAAGAGAAAAAATCAGTTGAAGGGAAGGGGAGGCCACTAACAGATTTATTTGGAGGTTTATCATTTTGTTGTGCTAACTTAAAATACATGGATTTATCTTTCACATAGTATTTTTAGATAAAATGTAAACATTCTTATAAAATTGCAGATTTGGGAGGAAACAAAGTAAATTATAGTCAAGAAATTATTAAATCTTTACAAGTAGGTGTTAGTTTATATTCTCATTCTTCAAAGTAATACCTTATATTTCTTGATACTAAGTAGAGGTACATGACACATACCAAGTATGAAATTGGAAAATGTTCTAGAACTATGACAATCAAGTAATTATGAAAATGACATGTCTATTTTACTAGTTGTATATTTTGCTAGAAAGCTTTAGGAACTCTATAAGCACACCCCCTTTGCTGGGAGGAACTTGCTATTCTTCAACTTTCCTGATGAAGAGAGGTAGGCCTAGAGAATGAGTTGAGTTCAAGCTAATAAAGCTTTAGTGTAGGAAGCTTATTTGTGAACCCAACTTAGACAGATACCATACGCCATACACTGAAACTAAGAGCAAAATTGTGAATGAAATGACCAATGTGAAATTTAAAATATTAAGCATTTCCATGACATTTTGACTGAGAGAAGTTTATATCAAGAACTAATCTTCAATTCTGAAAATACTTTCTGGAAGAGCACTAAAGAAAAGTGACTCTAATGCCATAAATACATGATAAAATTCAGAACCAATCATTATAAAAATGGCAATTTAATGTTGGAAAACTAGTTAAAGTACATTTGACAGGTTACTTTGAAGGATGATGGAGAATTAAAATAGACAGCTTCTGCATTTTCTTGTTAAAGTTCTCTTTTGCAGAACCAGCCAAGGTGTGCTTTGTGGTCTTGCAGTCAGTGTCTTTTAGATTGCTCATGAAAAAAATGTTTTGTGCTTTACTAATATTGGGAAACCCTGTAAATTCCACCTTTTCTTAGTTTTAATGTCATTTCCTTCACAACTTTACATTTCTGGTTACAGTATGGTTACACTTAATACTACATGTGTATTTATTATGATGACAGTTATTTTTTTAACTTCATTAAAAGCTTTTTTCCAATGGTGCTTCTCAGATTTTATCTTAGTGTCTGGGAAATAATATGACATATTTTAGTCTTGAAGAATTATAGCATGTCTAAAACTCTGAAAAGTTATGCTGTAAGATAACAGATCTGACCACCACAACATTCTTGTCCCTAATATGTACAATAAATGTGAAACTCATATTTAAAGAATTAAATCCCTTTTAAGCCATATTGTATGAGATCACAGTTTTTTCAAAATAAAAATAATTTATGTTTATGAAAATGTTACATTTGTTTTGTAAAAACTTTAAGAGGCAAATATAATTGTGAAGAGACTAAAAAAACTGGTTGAACTCCTACTTCCCAGATATACCTATTTCTTATAGCATGTTAAGAAATTATTCTATTTGAAATGTTCTCAAATTCAGAGAATTGTATGAATAGTACAGATTCCGCAATACTTTTTACCCAGATTTACTTAGCTCTCTGCTAATTGAATGTGTTGCTGTATTTGCTAAACAATTTTGGGTAAGTTGCAGGTTATCATAATTCCTTATTTCTACATACTGTCATATTTCTTCCTAAGTACAAGAGAATTTTTTTTATAAACACATACCTACTATGAAATTCAGGAATGTAGCATGTACTTGACGTTATCTAATATACTATATAGGTTGTCCCAGTGTTCTTAGTAATCATCCCCTCCTGCGCCTTCCTCATCTCCTCCAGTCCAGTTCCCAGTTACACATTGAACTTAGCTGTTAAATCACTATTTTTTTTCTAATCTGGAAGAGTTCCTTATTTAACTTTTCTTTATGTTCTGACATCTTTGCAGAGATCTGAAGTACCCCAATGTAGGTTTATTTGACATTTCCTCATGATTAGATTCAGTTTGTGCATTTTTAATAAGTACTATATAGCTGATATGTCTTACTCATTGTATCACATTAGGAAAAATGATACCCTTTGTCCTAAATTGGTACTAACTTGGTTCACTTAAGGCATTATCTTACAGTTGTTTATCCTTTGACTTTAACAAGCTACTTGGGTAATATTTTGAGACTTTGAAACATGCACATCAAACACATCATCCATTGATATTTCTTGATTACTGTGATGTGGTTTTCTGTTATTCCTTTTATTAGTTTGTTTCTCCCTATTAGTGCGAACTCAGACTTACTTAGTGGTTATATTCTATCATTATTTAAAAAAATTTAAGCCTTTTGAAAATAACTTCAAATTTGCTTAAAAGTTACAAAAATATTACTTTAAACTTTATATTCTTGACTCAGTTATTCAGAGTGTGTTATTACTACCCACCCAATTATTAATATTTGATAATTAGGTATGGGCATTATTACAGTTTCATTGCTGTAATAATTTGTTAATAAAGGTCACTCCTACATAAACACAGTATAAAGCCATTTATTAAGAAGTTAATGTTGATCCACACTACCATTATGTCTACTAACCCCATTCACATTTCTTTGGTTTGACACAATAATGTCCTTCATGGGTCCAGGATCCAAATCTATAATTATGTAATGCACGTAGTTATCTCATCTCTTTAGTTTCCTTCAGCCTTAAATAGTCTCCTTTTATGACTGATGTAGACCTATTACTTTTTGTTGATTGCCCTTCAGTTTGGATTTATACTATATGTTCTTCTGTATGAAACCTTTTTGGCAGGAACACCACAGTGGTGTTACTGTGCTTATTATCTCCATCTATAATGTAAGGCATTGTATGTTGATTTTGGTCTTTTGCTAGTGATGCTACATTTTATCACCAAGTTAAGATAGTGTCTTTAGGTTCTTCATACAAAATAAATAAGTATACTGTACTTCAAAATATTTTACAATATTTTCAATATGGTGAACATACCTATTTCTGACCACATTTTCACCATTGAATATAACATCCATAAATGAGTTTTATCTGAATCTTGGTGTGATAGTTGCCAAACAGTGATCTTTTAAAGAATTCATTCTAGATTTACTTACTGACAGGCTATGGTAAAGTTTAATTTTCCCTTTTTCTCGTGTTCATTATGTATGCATGTATTCATTTTAAAATTTTAATATATTCTTAATCTCCTTTTTTAACTGAGGGTTAGTATGTTCTCAAGTCAGTCATTATTTTGATGCACAAATCATCCTAAACTTGATCATTGCAAGCCAAGTGGATTAATTCTTAGGTCCTCATTATTCCTTGAGTACTTCCTTGTTTTCTGGTACAAGATATTGTCCATGATCATTGTCAATTTTTTCTTCTTCAGTCATGGACTTAGCCAGTTTTCCACAAGCCCTGACTCTACAGGTGTTTATTAGGAACCAAGATTTAAATGCTGTATGTGCTCATTACCAATGCCATTACTTCTAGAACCTTTCATTGGGCATAGTTGGGAATATATTGACATATATATGTGTACACAAATCTCTTTATCCATTTTTATATATCTTAAAAATCTTGGACTGATCCTCCAATTCCAAGTGTCTCAGCCCATTGCTAGGCATATGTTTGAACACCCCTTCCAACCCCTAACACCAAGTCAAATGTGACAACAAAAAGCTCAGTTTCCAGTTGAGGGGAACAGGGAAGGAGAAAAGGTGAAGTAGAAACGCGCCTCCTCATACATGCCAGGAGTTAGTAATTTGTATTGATTAGTTTATTTAAGATTTTTTTCTAGGTTAAGGAGATTGTAAAAGCTTAGAAGAAAAAGTTTCAAGGAGCAAGTAGTTACGTAGGTCTGATCTTACTAAGAAAATCAAACAAGAAGATTGAAAAATAATACTGAATTGGTATAATGGATATATTTTCTGACCTTTTGTTTGCAAGTTTTTCAGTGATCAAGAACTATTAGAATTATAGAATTGAGGATTATTTAAATCTTCAATATTGTAATATGGTAATTAAATATTACCAGGGTTAGAAAATGTAATAACTCTAAGTGAAATGGGAATTATGGAAGGATATAAGGATAGCTCACTAGCTTATAAACTTCATGTAGGTTAATTGTTTTTTAAAAATGTCATTAAGATATAAGTTGCATAGTTATACATACTGAGAGTAGGGATTTTTTTTTAACTAAATACTCTATGTCCAGATGTGTAGTAACACTATGTTGCATAAGTGAATGAATGAATGAGGAATTAAGGTAAAGGCATATAATTATCAGTCATCGTGTTACTTCACTAAGGTTGTTCTAAAAAATAACTGCAAACCAGATGACTTAAAGCTCCAGAAATTTATTCATTTATTCTCACAGTTCAAGAGGCTGAACGTCCAAAATTAAAGTGTCATTTGACCTACATGTACTCTTCTGAAGGCAATATGGAAAAATTCTTTTTGCCTCCTTCAAAGATGCAAATAGTTTGCACTTCTTGATTTGCCTTGCAATGCTTTTTCTGCTGTTTATGTCTACTCCAGTAGTCTTGTTTAAGTCCTTAACAAATTATATTTGCAAAGAACCTATTCCCAAATAAGGTCACATTGTGAAGTTCCAGGTATACA